AAACTGTATTATATACCTGAGCGTTTTTATTGATACTAATCTTCACTGAACCTCTCACATTCAACACATGGTCAGTAAGCTTCGACGACTTTCTTTTCATATCCGTAAACTTCGTCAGTTTCGTTTTCCACAATTATTTCCAACTTTGTGTATGAATGTGTTTTCCCTGTTTTACTTTATTGTTCACCTGTTATTTTCCCCAACCTCCTTAAGAAAGAGTTTTATTTGCTTCGACGTGGGTTGACTATCATTAACCGTGTTTCTTCAGTCCCACTAAAGGAGTTGATAACTAACCTATGCGAACATCATTTGAATGCATGTGAAAAGTTTGCGCATAAGATTCTCATCGACTCCACCCATCTGCTGCACGCTGACCAAACTTCCTGTTGTTCCCATCCCTCAACTAGATCACAATGTCGTTGTGTTCCCTCTAGAATAAACATTTATCGTATTCTGATTAACAAAGAACAGGTTTTCACAGAATTCGTTAAATGTTTTGGAATTTAAATCTCTTTCTTCATTGTTATTTTCATTTTCTCCCTTGCTCCAAACTATATTTTTTAACTGAAATGTGGACTTCATGCTTGCAGAAGTTAATACAATACAATACAATACATGCGGCTGCTGTAATTGCGCTTTCTCAGTCTCATTGAAATTTTTCTGCTAAAACTCGTCTTTCATCGTCAAATTTACCCTCATTTTACTCAATTCTGTTAGCTCTATCTTGTGGTATCGCTTTCTTGGAAATAAATCGTTCATATTATTCCGGTAACCCTTTGGAGATATTCACCCGTGCCAAATCGTTTTTTCCTGTTCGTGGTGTCATCATCGTGATATCGTTCGAAAGGAAATTCAGCATTCTTTCCAACAAGTCTTGATTGAGGTTTCTTAGCTGAAATACACGTATTTCACGGGATATATTTGTCCTGTTTAGTGCTGTCATTGGCATCACCGCATTCGCACTTGTGGTTGTTCCCCTACGGGCAGCAAAGCCGATCGATACTCCCAACATGAGCTTTGTGATTGTTCTGTGTTGTAGTGATCAGCACTGACCCAGACGAGTGGGCCATCGAGACAACCAGCCTTGACCTCATGTGATCTTTTCATACTTCTTCTGTCTCTTCGTTCGATGGAGCGCCAAAATGGGATTTCGCAATAAGTGCCGCACCTGGCGTTTCGCCGGCATGTAGTTTACGGATCGTTGAAACAGGAATATTATATACACATTGCTTGAAATACTTTCAATCCTTGTTTGCCAAACGCCTAGTGAAATAATCAAAACCGTCAGAATGCATATGGTTCTCTACAGAATGTGTGAAAATCCCGATTGTAAAGTGCATAACATACATTACACATGTACCTACGAGAAGCTGTTATCAGCTACCAAAGAAAGCTAATTTAAAAAATGACTACACTAGAAGCAAAAATAATGTGCACGAGTTCTCAGGTCATTGCAGCATTTAACGACGGTGGCGTCCATTCAAATTAGTGCTTCAAAACTGTTGACTACAATGCCTGAATCATTCATTCGCCCTCAGAGCATGCAATGTTTGGAATCCTACCACCTCACATTGTTCCTGCCCCACACCACGGATTCGTTTAAAAAAAACTAGATGCAACATTGTCAACTCATAAATTTCGATATCCGTAGCGGTGCACAAAAAAAGAAAACTTTCGACTTCACCTTTCTACCTATGAACCGCAAATCGATCTAGTTGTGCGAAACCCTATGGGAGAAGAAAAGCAACCACTTGTATTTCCCAACATAAAGTTTTGGCTTAGCGACTTAGACCAAGGAGAGATTATGTCACACATACACATGGTGCAATCGCTCCTGAGCTGTCGAACACTTAACCCACGAATTGTTAGATGTGCCATCCCGCTGATCGGCTGAATTCTGTTTCTGCCGCTCACGTTAATTTAACAACCGCAGGTTGCTGGCTCGTTCCCATCTTGATTTTGCCATCAGTATGACTTATCGAATAGAGCATTTTAACCCTTGAGTGTTGTTCACCCAGTCAAATTTTGGTGGTATGTTTTGCTATCACAGCATCAATTTCCGTTGGATCACCTGCCTTAGCTTGGGAAACCTGGCAATATTCCACCCACAAACAAGTAATGGAACTTTCTCTTTTGTATGAAAATTATTTTGCTATAATTTGTTTGGCACACAGTCTGGATTCAGACGTGTGTGAAATACATACATGTCGTGAACACAATGACTGTTAGTAAGACACCCGTCGTCATGTTGTTTTGCGCCAATCAAGTATGTAGCTGCATTCAGATATTGTTAAATTAACATTTGGAAAGGTTAATGGCTATTTATGTGAGACGTGTGACAAAGAGATCGTAATTTTAAATTGTTATTTTGGCACTCATCAATAAATTTTTCAGCTTCAATGAATCGTCGTCACGCCGGTACATGATTGACTGTGCTTGTAGATCGTCAGCAGTTTGCAGGCCGAGAACGCGTAGTGCCATTGATTTTTTGCTTCATAAGCTGTAGTTGTATCCACCTTTTGTATTTATACTCTGGAATACACGTGGTTAGAAAAGCTGATCTCACGTATGAAGATTGCGATAATCCGATAGAAATAGCAGAAACCTGGGTCACGTAATCGCATCTAGTCTTGGTATGCTTTCCCAGTTGGATAATTTATGTCAACAAAGCATTCATTAGTATCATCTAATAGGATTAAGCCAAACAGGAGAGAGCGGCGGTGGTTGAAATGCTGTTGATGGTGTCAGGTTGTATTTATTATTTCGTCCTCTTCTAACCAGTCAAAGCCTCCTCAAGGAGCTTCCCATTCACATTGTCAAAATCACCCTGGGTTCAGATTTGCGACCCTCATCCGCAAGGCTCAATCAAGTCTTAGCTGGCTTTTCCTTGATCACGGTGCAACGGTAGTGAAGTTCGTCTCGTCGTATTTCACTGTACTATTATGTTGTTTCACCTAACGCTTTTCCAAAGCCCATTGTTTCTTAGGGGCAATCTTTTATTCATTAAAACAAAAACATCGGAGTTTTCTTAGTATTTCTCATTTCCTTTGTTTATTTTCGTCGCTTTGTAACATCAAGATGCTCGATTCGAAAAATGACCTATTTAAGCTAGTATGATTCTCAAAAGTCTATAACGCGGTAACTAATTTCGGCTATCATGTGCTCTCCTCTGGCATTAGTTATTTCCTCATACCACTTGATTTATGCGGTGTGTATCTAGCTTCACTGTCTTTCTATAGATGCTCACTCAAAGTTTTCTGACAGTTTTCCCATCATAAAGTTGTTATTGGTTATACTATGCTCAACAGATTGTGAATTGTTCCAAACGTTTCATTAGTCCCACAGAACACTGAGAACAACAGCGTGGCGAACAAGCTTGTTTTCGTAATCATTCCATCACATAACATTAAATATGACTAACAACAAGAATAAACAGGGACTGACAGATTCGAGTCCTAATGGTTCAGCTATGGCTCCAACCATGCCTGCATGTGTGTTTGTGTGAAGTTACTCACAGTGTAAAAAGTTCAAGTGATCGTACACGTGTTGGAGTGGATGAAGTGCGTCAGGGGAGGTTAAGTACTTACACAAATTTCTTCTGGGCGAAGTACCTCAAAGTCGAATGCAAACAGATGATGTCATTTGACGTTACTTGTTTATTCACAAATGTGCCCATTAGTGGAACTATCAATCACATATATGGATTTATTTGAAAAAAACAACGTCGATGTGGGCATTCCATTGGATGAACTAAAACAATTGTTAATCGTAGGCACGCATGACGTCCAGCTTCAACTCAATGGTGGACTATATCACCAAAAGGATGAGGTTGCAATAAGGTCACATTTAGGACCATTATTTGCTGACACCGGTACGATCAAACTAGAGAAGGATTCACTGGAGCCCTATATCAGACAATGCACCCTATACAGACGATATGTTGATGTGTTGTGTATAATAGATGTAAATGTCGTCATTAATCGATCGCTTGCGAATATTAATAATGCCCGTCCAAAAAAAGAAGAGGACAATAGTCCAGCGTCCCTACACATACTTATAAGACGTCACAGCGATAGTTCCGTCCAGTTGTCGGTGCATAGGAAAGCAAAGTGCGGTGGACAATATGTCCATTTCCATAGTTTTGTCACTCTTCAGACGAAGAGGAATCTAATTCGATCTATGGTTCAAGGAGGGAAGAAAATATGCACGACGAACACCATCGACAATGTACTTCCGTCCTTACCTACAGTTTTAGCTCGCGATGGCTACCCTAAACGATTTATCGATTGTGCTAGGATAGAACACGATGAACGGCCAAACGAAATAGGAGCAGCAAAGAAATCTGTTTATGTGCATCTGCCGTTCAAGGAAGATACGGGGGCAGAAGTCTTTCAAAGAAAGCAAACAAGTGCAGTAAGAAGAAAATATTACGCTGCACAATTATAAGCTGTGTTCACATCTAAAACAATTGTCTCCGAGTGAAGGAGAGAGTGTCAGATTCTGCAGCCTCATTCTGTGTATATTCATTCATCTGGTTCGGTGTAACTGGGTACATTGGTTGCACGACCAGGCGCTTATCCGATGGCGCTCGGATCGGCTGAGAAAAAGAACAATTAAGACAATTACGAGCGCAGTGTATTCGCATCTCGTTGAGTCAAATCACTCGGTGGATGTGGCAAGCTCGTTCCGACCGATTTATAAGTTTCAATGCAGGCCATCAAGAGCAGTGAAGCATCGTATCTTA